AAAAAAAATGCATGTAAAGTGTGAGGTTACAGTAAGCTATGATCATGCTTACTCTAACTCAAACTCCTGAGCTCAAGCCATTCTCCCAGCTCAACCTCCCAAGTAGGTAGGCCTACGTAGAGATACAAGGTACCACACTTGCCTAATTTTTTAACTTTTTGCAGAGATGAGGTCTCAATAATATGTTGCCCAGGATGGTCTTAAATTCCTGGCCTCATCAATCCTCCCACCTCAGCCTCCAAAGTGCTGGGATTATAGGTGTGAGCCAGGGCACTGGGCTGGTTTTCTATTTTCTCTCTGGATTGTTTCTATTGGTTTATTTTCGAGTTTACTATCTTTTCTTTCCTTTATGCAGATTCATACTCTCATCTATCAATTTCCTTCTACCTGAAAAATATTTCTTCTAGTTCAGGTCTCCAGGTGATGAAGTCTTTCAGTGTTTGTGGTCTACAAAAGCATTTATTTCACCTTTGTTTTTAAAAGATATTTTCACTGGATATAGGTTTCTTCTTTCTGTACTTTACAGATAACATGCTACTCTCTTCTCACTTGCATTAATTCTAACTAGAAATCTCCTTTCATCCTTATCATTGTTCTTCTATATATAACATGTCTTTCTTTCTTTCTCTGGTTGCTTTTTAAGACTTTTTTTTTTTTTTGGGAGACAGAGTTTCACTATATTGCCCTTGGTAGAGTGCAGTACTGTCACAGCTCACAGCAATCTCCAACTCTTGGGCTTAAGTGATTCTCTTGCCTCAGCCTCCCAAGTAGATGGGACTATAAGACACCCGTAACAACATCCAGCTAATTTTTGGTTGTAGTTGTCATTGCTGTTTGGCAGGCCTGGGCTGGGTTCAAACCCTCCAGCTCTGGTGTATGTAGCTGGCACCCTAGCCACTGTGCTACAGGTGCCAAGCCAAGATTTTTTTTTTTAAGACAATGTCTTGAGGGAGCCACCTGTGGTTCAGTGAGTAGGGCGCCAGCCCCATATACCAAGGGTGGTGGATTCAAACCCAGCCCCAGCCAAACTGCAACAAAAAATAGCCAGGTGTTGTGGCAGGCACCTGTAGTCCCAGCTACTTGGGAGGCTGAAGCAGAAGAATCACCTAAGCCCAGGAGTTGGAGGTTGCTGTGAGCTGTGATGCCACTGTACTCTACCAGGGCGATAAAGTGAGGCTCTGTCTCTACAAAAAAAAAAAAAAAACAAACCAAGACAAAGTCTTGCTGTGTTGCTAGGGCTAGAGTATAGTGGCATCATCATGGCTTACCACAACCTCATTCCTAGGCGCAAGTCATCCTCCTACTTCAACCACCAGAGTAGTTAGGACTACAAGGCCTGAGCCACCATGCCTGGCTAATTTTTTTTTTTTTCATTTTCTTTGGAGACTAGGCCTCACTGTTACCTAGAATGGGCTCTAACTCCTGGCCTCAACTAATCCTCCTACCTTGGCCTCCCAAAGTGCTAGGATTATAGGCAGAGGCCATTGCATCCAGCCTGATTTTTTTCTTTACTACAGGTTTTATACAGGTTCGATCATTATGTGCCTTGGTATATTTTCTCCATGCTTTACAGTTTGTTAAGCTTCTTGTAGTTTGTAGTTTTCATCAGATCTGGCAAAATTTCAGCTGTTACTTATCTTCAAATACTTTTTCTGTCCCCAGACAAAATAGATTTCAGAACAAAGAATATTGCCAAGGATAAAGACAGTAATTTCATAATGAAAAAAAGGTTAATTCATCAAGACAACATAAAAATCTTAAGCATTTATGTACCTACTCACAAGGTTTCAAAATACATAAAACAAAAACTGATAGAACTAAAAGGAATAAAAACGTCCAAAAATATAGTCAGAGAATTCAAAGGCTGTCTCACAATAACTGATAGACTAAATAGGCTGAAAATAAGTAAGTACATATAAAATTTGAATAACACTATCAAACAAATTGACCTAATGGAAATTTACAGAATAGTTCATACAACATCAGCAGAATATTCATCCTTTCCAAGTACACATAAAATATTTAATAATAACCAACCACATTCTGGGCCATGAAACAAGTCTCAATAAATTTAAAAAGATTCAAGTCATACAAAGCATGTTCTGTGACTAAAATAGGATTAAATTATAAATTAGTAACAGAATCTCTAGAAAATCTCAAAATATTTGGAAACTAAGAAACACATTTCTAAATAACATAGGGATCAAAGCAAGGAAGAAAATAGAAAGTATTTTGAACTATATAAAAATGAAAACATAAATAGTATATAAAAATGTGTGGAATGCCACTAAAACACTACTTAGGGGTTAATTTATAGCATTAAACCCCTATATTAGGAAAAAAGAAAGGTCTCAAAACTATGACCTCAGCTTCCACCTCAAGAAAGTAGGAAAAGAAGAGCAAATTAAACCCAAAGTAAGTAGGAGAAAAGAAACAATAAAGACCAGAAGAGGTTCAGCGCCTGTGGCTCAAGCGGCTAAGGCACCAGCCACGTACACCTAAGGTGGCGGGTTCGAATCCCCAGCCTGGGCCCGCCAAACAACAATGATGGCTGCAACCAAAAAATGGCCAGGCGTTGTGGCAGGCGCCTGTGGTCCCAGCTACTTGGGAGGCTGAGGCAGGAGACTCGCTTGAGCCCAGGAGTTGGAGGTTGCTGTGAGCGTGATGCCATGGCACTCTACTCAGGGGGATAGCTTGAGGCTCTGTCTCAAAAAAAAAAAGATCAGAAGAGAAACAGATGAAATAGAAAACATAAAAACAACATAGGAAAATTAATAAAACCAAAAGCTGATCTCTGAGAAGATCAATAAAACTGATAAACGTCTAGCCAGAGAAGACATAAATTACCAATAAAAGAATAAGGGACTATAACTGTTCACTAATAAATTTGACAACTTAGATAGAACAAACCTTCCATGAAAGACAAACTACCAAAACTCACTCAAGAAGAAACAGATAACCTGAATAGTCCTATAGCTATTAAAGAAAGTGAACCTATACTTAAAAACCTTCCCACCATGAAAACACCAAGGCCAGATGACTTCACTGATGAATTCTAGCAAATATTTAAAGATTAAATAATATCAATTTATTCTAGACAAATATTTTTAGAAAATTGAAAAGAAGGCAATATATCCCAACTCATTCTACAGAGTAAGCATTATTGTGAAACCAAAAGCAGACAAAGACATTACAAGAAAACTACCTACTTATATCCCTCAGGAACATATATGCAAACATCTTAAACAAAACTTTAGTAAATCAAATCCACCAATGTATGAAAAGAACAATACAGCATGACCAAGTAGCAAAGCTGATTTCACATTCAAAAACCAATAAAAGCTGGGCACAGAGGCTCCCACCTGTAATTCTAGTAATTTGAGAGGCCAGAGCAGGAGGAGCTCTTGAGTCCAGGAGTTTTAGACCACTCTGGGCAACATATCAAGACCCTGCCTCTGCAAAATATAAAAACATTAGCAGGGCATGGTGCCATACGCCTAGAGTCTCAACTACTTGTGAGCTTAAGTTTGAGGCAGCAGTGATCTATGAGTGTGCCACTGCACTGCACTCCAACCTGGGGCAACAGAGACCCTGTCCCTCAAAAAATACCAATGTAATTTAACATATTAACAAACTTTTATAGAAAAAATATGGTTTCCATAGGTGCAGAAAAAACTGCATTTGACAGAATCCAATATATATTCCTTAAAACTCTCAGCAAAGAATAGAAGCAAACTTCCTCAATCTAATAAAAAGTATCTGTGATAACCTATAGATAACATCATACTTATTTGGTCAAAGAATGAATGCATTTTCCCTAAGATCAAGAACAAGACCAAAATACTCATCTCACCACTTCTATTCAACATTTACTAGAGGTTCTAGCCAGTGAAATCAGACAACAAATATAAATTAAAGATATAACGATTGGAAAGAAAAAAGCAAAAACTATATTTTCAGAATATCATAATCTTATATACAGAAAATCTTAGGGTATTTACCAAAAAACAAAATCTACTAGAATTAATAAGTAAATTTAGCAAGGTTACAGGATACAAGATCAATATACAAAAATCAAATGCAAACCACAATGAAGTATCACTTCAAACTGACTAGGATGACTATAATCAAAAAGACAAACAAATGTTAGCAAGAATATGAAGAAACTGGAAACCTCACATATTGCTAGTGGGAATGTAAAATGATGCAGCTATTGTGGAACACCATGTGGCAGCTCCTCAAAAGATTAAAGAAAGTTGTCGTATGACCTAGCAATTAAAGAACGTTGTCGTATGACCTAGCAATTCCATTCCTAGGTATACACCTAGAAGAATTAAAAATACATGTTTACATGAAAATTTGCACAAGAATGTTCCAAACAACATTATTCATAATAGCTTAAAAGTAAAATACAAATTTCACCAACTAATAAACAAAATACGGTTTTGTATAGATATATACAATGAAATATTCATCCAGAAAGGGTAATGAATTGCTGATACATGCTACAATAGAGATGAAGCCTGAAAACATTACTGTTAAGTGAAAGAAGTCATTCACAAAATGCTATATACTGTATAATTCCATTTATAGAAAACATCCAGAACAGGCAAATTCATAGATATAGAAAGTATATCAGTGATTGCTTGGTCAGGGGAAGGAGGGTGGTAGTGGATTGGGAGTGACTGTTAATGGGTACACGGTTTCTTTTGGGGATGTTGGAAATGCCCTAAAAATAGGTAAGGGTGACAGTTGTGCAATATTGTGAATGTACTAAAAACTTATGAAATGCACATTGTAAGATGGTTAGAATAATAAATTTGTGTTGTTTGAATTTTATCTCAATGAAAAAGCTACCCAAAGAAATCAACTATATTTCTACATATTAGCCACATACAATCCAAAAATGAAATTATAAAAACAATTTTATTCACATAGCATCACAAATATTTAAGCCTAAATTAATCAAAAGCAGTGCAAGACCTACACACTAAATACTACAAAATACTGATGAGAGAAATTAAGCAAGACATAAATAAATGGAGAGAGATATGTTCATGGATTGGAAGACTCAATATTATCGGAATAACAATTCAACGATCCCTATCAAAATCCTAGCAGGTATTTTTTTTATGGAAATTGATAAGGTGATTCTAAAATTCAAATGAAGACACAAAGGATCCAGAAACCAAAACAATTTTTAAAAAGAGTAACAAAGTTGAAAAACATATACTATCTAATTTCAAAATGTAAAGCTACAGTAATCAAGACAGGATAGACATGGAATAGAATAAATGGTGCAGAAATAAGCCCACACAAACATAGTAAATTGATTTTGGACAAAAGTGCTGAGTTAATTTGTTAAGTCTGCTCAACAAATGATGCTAGAACAAGTACATATCCACAGGCAAGAAAAAATAAAAATAAAGGGAGGCAAGAAAGAATAATAACTTAGACCTTTACCTTACCCAATATAAAAGTTAACTCAAAATGAATCACAGATCTAAATGTAAGACCTAAAATTATTCAATTTCTAGATTAAAACATAGAATAGAAAATCTTTGTGGCTTTGCATTTCACAAAAATGTCTTATTTATATTACCAAAAGTGTGATCTATTAAAAAAAAAAAACCTGTTAGGATGGTGCCTGTGGCTCAAAGGAGTAGGCCACTGGCCCTATATGCCAGAGGTGGCAGGTTCAAACCCAGCCCTGGCCAAAAAAACCCCTGATAAACTGACTTAAAAAATTCACATTTCTTCTCTTCAGAAAACATTATTAAGGGCAGCACCAGTGGTTCAAAGGAGTAGGGCGCTGGCCCCATATGCCAGAGGTGGCAGGTTCAAACCCAGCCCCGGCCAAAAACTGCAAAAAAAAAAAAAAAAAAAAAAACATTATTAAGAAAATGAAAAGACAAGGAGAAAATATTCAAAAACCACATTATCTGAGTAAATATTTAAGTCTAGGCTTGACGCCCATTAGCACAGTTTTATAGCACCAGCCACATACATGGAGGCTGGTGGGTTCGAACCCAGCCTGGGACAGCTAAGCAATAATGACAATTGCAACAGAAAAATAGCTGGGCCTTGTGGCAGGCCCCTATAGTCCTAGCTACTTGGGAGGCTGAGGCAAGAGAATTGCTTAAGCCCAAGAGTTTAAGGTTGCTGTGAGCTGTGACACCACAGCACTCTACCAAGGGTGACAGAGTGAGACTCTGTCTCAAAATAAATAAATAAATATTTCAGTCTAGAATATACAAAGAATAGGAAAACAGCCAACAAAATTATTATTTTTTCTATATTTTTATTATTTCAGATTAATATGAGGTTACATTAATAATTAGGTTACATTGTTTGTGTTTGTTAGGAAAAGTCTGAGTTGTATTTGAGTCCTTCACCCAGTAGGTGTGCCATATACCCCTACATTGTACCCATTAGGTAGGAACTTACTAAGCCCCTTCCTGCCTCCCCCTCTTCCCTTCTTGAATTTAATTGTGTTTTTCCCTCTCATGTAGGCCTACAGTTGTTTGTCTACTAGTTTCAAATTAGTATTGAGTAGATGAGATGCTTTTCTATCTATTCTTGAGATACTTTAATAAGAAGAATGTTCTTCAATTTTATCCAACATTTTTAAATGGGCAAAATATGTATTTTAAGAGACATTTCACCAAAGAAGACATTCAAATGACTAACAATTACAGGAATAGATATTTAGCATCACTAGTCATTAGGCAAACACAAGTTAAAACACAAGACAGCACTACAGATCCTCTAGAATGATTATAATTTTAAGTGTGACAATCTAACTGTTGTTTCTTTACATTTTAATCAAGAATTTCATTATATTCTAATCAAGAACGTAAAGAAAATGGAACACTCATACCATACTGGTGGGGGGAAAAAGTAGTACAGTCACCACTTTGGAAAACAGACATTTATGATATAAGCTCACAATTCCACTCCTAAGTTTCTATCCAAGAGAAACATTAAATATCTGCACAAAGACATACATAGAAGGTTCGTAACAGCATTATTTATAATAACCTAATGCCTGAAAACAATCCAGATTTCCATCAACTACTGAATGCAAAAACAAAATGTGGTAGATTCATGCAATGGAATACAATTCAGCAATAAACAGGTACAAACTACTCATATATTGAAAAGATAGATGGACTTGAAAAACATTATGCTAAGTGAAAGAAAACAGGTAAGAAAAATGACATGTTGCATGATGTGATTTATGTGAAATTTCAAGAAAAGGAAAAACTATAGTGACAACAGATCAATGGTTGCCTGAGAGTGGACTACAGAAGAATATAAAGGAGCTTTTGGGGATGATGCAAGTTTTCTAAGCTGGATTGTGATGATGGTTTCACAACTATATATGTTTACAACTCATCAAACTGTACAGTTACAACAAGTGAATTTATGGTGCACAAATTATGCTTCAAAAAAGATGCTTTTAAAAAATAAACTATATAAAGTATTCACTTACCATTGTAGCCTTCAAGAACAGAATCAATAATAGGTCTTGCAGTTAAGTTATAAACATCAAGTTGTTTACTCTCTGGTCCAAAAACAGTATCAAAAGTAAATGTCTTTGGAGGTTCATTGGAAGAATCAGTCTTGTGTACAGTGATAGTTCCCCTCATCTCATCCACACTGACAGCCTGTTTGTAGCACATTGATTTCTCTCTCTCATTGAGGGGCCGGCACCTAACAACGACCTTCACATTATCACAGCTTTCTGGCTTCTCTGATTTATTGATCTGGTGGAGACAATATTTACAAATAACGATAAGGACATTTACTTTTACCCTCAATGGATTAAATTTATAATTTGAACAAAGCTACTTTGTCATCTCAGTGCCTTGCACACATTAAGGACTTCAAAAATATTTGTTAAATATAATTGAAGAGTTTACATATGTATAGAAAAAGCTTATTAAAAGATACAAAAAGGAAAATAGAATATTTTACACTAGGAGAGAGAAAATTTAATTTACATTTGTACTAAATGCTGTTCAAGTAGAAAACGAACCAGTAAATTATAGATTGTCTTTCTACACAAAAATCCCTGACATCCTTTTTGTGTTTCCTGCCTGTCAGAAAACACATGTGTACATGGTTAACAACTTTAATTCAAGAATATACTAGGTCCTTTGTTCCCCTAAGACTTCTCATTTTATTTTCCAGAATGCATTAGTAAAATATTTTTTATCATGTAAAAATAAACAGCTTATCTTCTCTACAGAAGACAGTAAGTTAAAGACAGAAGAGAAACTCTAATGGCAGAGAAAAATGTCTTAGCATGACCTAATCTTATGAACATTTGTATATGTCAATTTCTGAAATTTTATATGATTAAGAATCTATGATAAAACACAATCCCATTACTGAAGTGAAAAAGTTCAGCCGTTTTGCTGAACAGATACTTGTTCGATTCCTACTGTTTTAGATACACTTCTAACCATTAAAGAGAAATATAATACCATGGACAAGTAACAGATTATATCCATCCAATATATACTTTACTCCAACTCTATCTTCATCACCCTTGTCTAGGTCACCATCATCTTGGCCCTGGATTATGGGTTCCTAAATTACTCCTGCATCCAATTAGATTGCCCTATCATCTGTTCTCCACACTGCAGTCAGTGTCAACACAAATCTAATAAGGTCACTCTCCTTAAAATTCTTCAAGGTTTCCCATAGATCTTAGGAGAAAAAATCAAAATCCTTAAAGTGGTCCGTACAACCTGGCTCCTACCCATATGCGCTTCTTTGGGCTTATTCCACAAAATACTTTCCCTGGCTCATTCTGCTGGGCTTCTTGACCTTTTCTAGTCACCACGCTCCTTTTCACCACAGGCCTTTCCATGTGCCATTCCTTCCACCTAGAACATTCCTCAAACCCCTCTTAGTTAACATCTACTTATCCTTCAGATCTCAATAGCCAGTTTGTGAAGATTCTCTGACTAGGTCAAATACTTTCATAGGCTCTCAGAGCACCCTGCACTCCCTTTCATGGAGACAATTTTACTTTTTGTCTGTTCATTATTTGATTCATGTCAGTAGTCAAGGGGCTGATTTCAGACCACAATTTTCCTTTGTGATGCTCATAGCACTTAAAATCTTTTATATTAGTTGCTAAAATTGAGAAATTTCACAAAAACAATTTCTGAAGTCTCTTGGGGGAAAAAAAGATAATCTGATATCTATAGGCCATCATTCCTACATGGCAACACTTCTCAATTCACCAGAATCTATTTCCATCTATTGTAGGACACCCACCCATTTCATTCATTAAGATCATGTGTCTCATCTCTATAACTGTGTTTGCAACTCTCTTTCCAAGTTCTTTGCTCAGTATTTTCTCTCCAGTGCCTAGTGTGTGGCTGGTGCACAATATTTATTGATGAACAACTTGAAAGCAATGAACAAGAACAATTATAGAACATTTAATGCTGAATCCCAAGCACCATCCTTTAATTATATTTCACACCTGATAACAACGCCATGAGGAAAATTATGTGGGAACTAAGGACCCAGACAAATTAAATAATTGTCTGAGGACTCACAAGCAGTTCTCTCCATGACCCTTCGTTGGAGCTTACAATGCCCCATTACTAGAGCACGAAAGCAAATTGTGAAATCCTGGACGGTAACATATCACTATCAGCACACACACACACACACAC